GAGTTACACCTTGTCTTTGACGAGCAATTGAAGTTGGTTGAACCTTTATTTGTCCTTTTCTTTTAGTTGCAACACTAAGTCCTCGGCAACATACCATCATTAATTTTGCCAATTGTTGTGCATTTTTTATCACATTTAGATTTTTTGTCAATTTTTTACGTATATCTAATGGCACATCATTTAAAAAAATTTTTATTCTTAAAAACTTTTTCAAGTACATCATTTGCCTTGTTACTTGCAACTTTATCATAAGCTAATGATTGAAGGGCATTGGTGTCATTTTTATTTGAAATTTCTTTAGATTTAGTGAAAGACTCAATATGATTACTAGCATTGTTCACATTATCAATGTTACTACGCGCACCTTCTTCTTGAAATTGAATACCACTTTCATTTTCTTTTAAACCCAGGAACCATAACTGAGAAGGGCACTCGTCACCAAGTGCAAGTTGTCCAAGTGCATATCTTTCAGTGACAGTTATAGGCGGTGAATTAGGTAAAGATAAATTTAAATGTTTGTGTAAAAAGGCTTGGTGTTTGAAAAATGCACCAATATACCCAACGTAACAATCGCAAACACCAATTTGAATATCAATAGTATAAACTGAATTCTCAGTATTGCATAATTTCGTTGGATATTATCCCGACGATTATGTGCATGATCTAGTATTCTAAGAATCAAATAGTCTTTCCACACATAACAAATGAATTCAACAAGAGCCACTACATTATATGCCTTAGTCCAATTTAAAATAATTTCTTTCAATATTCGTATGCATGCTACAGCATAGTTATTGGTATTGTTTCCTCTTGTTATAATATCACGTCTAAACATTAAAACCCATTCATTTTTTCTTTTGAAATAATTTTCAAAGCGTTTAACAAAATTAGGAAATTCATCTTTTAAGTTAAAAATATCGGAAGTAGCTTCATTTGAATTGACTTCATCTGTAGCATACAATATCTAAAATAAATAACTAATATAAATTATTTAAGCCTATATTTCCTGGTGTTATGGACGATCCTGAGATGTCCTCACAAATAAATTCACAAACACTTTAGGACTGATTTTAACTTTCTGTATTTGTAATTAAGAATAAACGTACAACTATATCAATGAAAAATAAGGCTCTGAATGTTCTGTACAAACGTAATGCTCTGTCTCCAATCCTGGACTGCCGCACTCGCCTTCTATGCGCGAGGCGAACAGCGGAGTAATTACCAAGACTGCCCATGGTTTTTCTTCATGTATTATTATTGAAATACCTAAAAAACAAAAAACAAAAAAAAATTCTAATTTAGTATCTATAAAAAGAATCAAATTTAAATGGTATGGTTAAATCTCACCAGAGTATTAGTTAATACATGAAGTTAATATTAATTAAATTTATCTAAGTATATTGTGAACACATATTTTACCTTTTTCAGCATATGATTGAGTCTTTTCTTTTAATTTCTCCAATGGGTTATTTACACAACTAAAGTTCTTTTTTCACCATTTTTTGTGTAAATATGCCACAGTTTCTTTTTTTGGATTTTTTGAGCCATTTGCTAAGGTCTCCCAACAATTTTGATTCAATAATATTTTGCTTTCATGTAAGCGTATCGCTTCAGCTGCACCCATTCCATCTTCAAAATAAAGGGTGTMTCATAAAGAACGCCGGATTTGAAAAGGCCGCCATTTTTGTTTTTTTTGTTGGCTGCGCTGGTTTTGATAGTTTTGTTATCTGTTATCATTGAGGTTTTGTGTTGAAAAGGGGTTTTGTGGTTCTTAGACTCTTAGCCATTGTTTATGTTGTATCG